GATATATATATATTAAATAACACCGGACCTAGTATCGATCCCTGCGGAACACCGCAAGTTATTTCACATTGATCAGATAACACTGACGCAATACGTACTGATTGACATCTGCCTGTCAAATAGCTTTTAAACCAAAACAACGCAGGCTTAGAGATTCCAATATTCGAAAGTTTTCTTAGCAGAATGAAATGATCTAAGCTATCAAAAGCTTTAGACAAGTCCAGTAAGAGTAAAGCAGTCACTTCTCTACGATCCATGGACTGGAGAATTAAATCTGAGATGAATATGTTTAAAGTTTCGGTTGAATGTAACTTCCTATTTCCACTTTGATGTTTAGTAAATTTTTTCTTCTTTGTCATATACTCTGTTAGCTGTTTCAATACCACGCGTTCACAGATCTTAGATGCAGCCACTAACAACGACACGGGTCGATTATTATTCGGAATTTCATAATCCCCTTCCTTCAGAAGTGGGATAACCTCTGCTTTCTTCCAGGCTGTTGGGAAAACACCTGTTTCCAGGGAACAATTAACAATTTGCGTAAGTGTAGGAAGGATGTACGGTAAGGCGTCCTTGATCACAGCCATTGATACTTTGTCAAATCCTGGTGCCTTATTTGATGAAAAGGACATAACAACCCTATGAATGGAAATAAAACTGTACAACGATACTGAATGAAAATAAAACTGATCAATCTCAGGTATTTCGGTAAATGTTGGTAGATTCAGTATGGGTAGTCCATGTTCAGTAAGCAATGCCAATGCAGTTGCTGATGTATTTATCCCCACTGAGGTAAAAAAGGTATTGAATTCATTAGCTAATTTCTTAACATCTCCGGAATAACTTGGTTTCGTGGTCTCTTTGTGGGGAACGCAGTTCCTATATATTATGCAGACTTTCTTAAATTATTTGATAAATTATACGAGGAAGTAGAAAAGCTATTTAGATCAACGTGGTTTCGAATTTGTAACTTTTTGGGGATGTTTAGGCGGCGGTATAAGTTGATGTTGCAAATAATTATTGGCTTAAAAATTCAAAGTGTGATGTCACTTGATTGTTATCGTCGTATATCGTGACCACCTTATTACTGTACCTCGCTGGAATTTAAATATATCCCCTGTTTATCCTCATCAGCATTTTATTCCTAATTTACATTTACAAGTCAATCAATATTTATTTCCCATGTGTATGTACAATAATAAGTAACAAAAACTATGTGTAGTTTGAAGATGTTGGGCTAGAGACCTACTGGAAACCTTTTCAGGCTTTTTAATGTAGGCCACTAGTTAGGTTTGTAAAAAAAATTGCATATATCTTTACAGTGAAGAGTAATTATTGAAGTAAGATCTAAAAGTATATACTATTTACAAAAGAAGGATATTATATCATAATATACAGTTACAAGATTACACAATTTTCGCTATAGAATTAACGGTTTCTGTATATCTGTGGTCATTGCATATAAGTTGAAGAAGATCTAGCTTACTATACATGTTGTTTGATTAATCTTTTGTAGACATTGTAAGAGTTTAATCTTTTGAATTTTGTATCTAATGTATTCCATAGATTATGTATTCCATAGGTTTGAAAGAGTATGTATGACATAATTAGTTCTTTTACAACACTTGTGTAGTTTTGTTGCATTTCTTGTGTTGTAGTTATGAATTTCATTGTTTGTTACAAAATAATTTTCAAATGCTTCCGGTAAATGTTTAAGATAATAGTATCGATACATAAACAAAGCAGTTAGGTAATTATTTATTTTGAAAATATATAGTATAGGTTCTTTATGTTCCGAGTAAGATCTAAAAGTTATCAAACGCACAATTTTATTTTGAATATTCAATATTTTTTGAATTCGGGTTTTGTAGGTATTACCCCAAATCAAGTTGCCATAAATAAGACATGGATACAGTAATGTGTAATAAATTAGTTTCAGTGAATTTCTGTTTATCAAGTGTCTTATTTTTGCTATTATTCCCGAGGCTCTTGTGATTTTCTTTGATACCTCAGTTATATGGTTATTCCAAGTCAAATACTCATCAATTGTTATACCAAGAAAGGTTGTGCATTTGACATGTTCTATGTTTACATTATTTACGCTAACTTTTACATCTTGTTTTAATTTCTTATTTGTAGATCTGAATATAATATATTTTTAATGATTTAAGACAGCTGTTGCTATAAAAGATATTAGTATCATCTGCAAACAGTATAAACGAAAGTAAATTTCTGCTATGTTCAATATCATTTATATAAAGTAAAAATAAAATAGGTCCAAGAATTGAACCCTGTGGGACACCTGTTTTAATTGTCATTTCTTCTGACCTAGTTAGTAGTATAGGAACTGCCGTAGCGAGACCACTAGCTTCGGAGCGAGACCTCTAATTTTTTACCTTTGGTAAAATTAATAATTTATTTTTATTATATTAAAATTAATCATTTATTTTTATTAAATTAATGATTTATTTTTATTAAAATTAATGGTCCCGCTCCTCAACGAGTGTTCCCGATCCACAGTCCATTTATTTGGAATGTGAAACTGCTATTCTGAGGTCTTGTCCGAAATGTTTTTCATTTAACTTATCTCAAAGCTTCGGGATCACCTTATCAGTCCAGCTGAGACTCTAGTATGATTATCCTTGGTGCAATCCTACACTTTTCCGGTATCGTTCAATTTTCCTATTCTAGAGCCTCTTCGACAACTTTTAAAATACCCTTGAGGTAACACCCCCCCCCCTCCACAGAACCGTCAGATATTAATTCTGAGCACTGATTAATGCTTCCTACAACCTCCACAATACCTATTTTAGTTGTCACACTCAGATTCCAACTATTCACCGTTCTCTTCTATCAAAATACCAGGGATTCCCAAACCCTCAAACATCTAGACTTTTCCAATATCGTCCAATTTGCTTATTCCAAAGCCTCTTCGGCAACTTTTATTTTCTCCTTGGGGGTACATAAGGCAGGGGGCCCTACCTGCTTATTTACCCTTTAGGATTATTACTTTCTACTCTGTGGGAACTTCTCAGTCACTATTTTTTATATTCTTGTTACCATAAGCATAACTGGTAACTCCATCCTCCAAAAGATACCTTTTATCATCAAAGCAACTCAGAGTAACCTTCCTCATTTCATAAGTTCGAATTGTATGCTTTGTGCTCCTGATTGTATTCATGTTGTGTCTCATCCTAGCCTTCGTGTTGATTGCATTCTTGAAGTTCTCATGCGTGAGCTTGTTTCTGATAAGATACTTCTTAACCCCTTTAGCTGTCATTCCACCCCCACCGTTTTCCTTGACATAGGAGTACATCTTTGACCTCAACCCAACAAACTCAGTTATGGGTACTCCTCCAGCTTCATCCTTAAACTTACATATACCCTTGTTGTTGTGGGTTGAGTAGTAAGGGCTATCTTTTGGGTAATCTGAATTATCCCAGCAGTTTTGCTCTTCGCCGATCCTCTTGAAGTCCTCATAGACATCATTCGTCTTCAGTTCGTACATCAGACTGTCGGTATCGGAGAACAGTAACCTCGAACTATTACCATACTCCTTCTTAATGGTGTTGTAGTGGAAATCGTACATTAGAGTCTTGGATAAGTCTAAGATGCTCATTCCCACATAACACGGTTTATTCAGCGTTAGAACTTCTTTTATCCTCTTTACCACTATGAGATTCTCATTCATGATTCGGTGTGACTGGAAGCATGGTGATGCTGTCAGGTTTAGGAGGTCGTCTTTGGAGGACACTAATTTCACATCAACCCTTTTCCTAAGATTCTCCATAGTCTTTCCATAGATCGAGTTGTCCATCAACTTGAAGAAGTTCTTTTCGAACGTGTTACGGGCTACTGACCTTTTCTTCGTATTGAAGTCTATATAGTCCTTAAGCCAGGGAGACTGCTTGAATGTAACCGCTCTATGAACCTTCGTGAGTTTCATCCCAAGGTCTGTGTACAGTTTCAAATTACGTACATGTAAGACGTACTTCTTCCTGGGGCCTAGTGAGGTTACTAGTTTTCTTACTCCTCCAATTGTCAGTTGGAATTTCTCAGCAATACTCTTCGCATAATCTGACCACATAGAAGCACTGATTTCCTTACTCTCCGGTGCTAGAGGATAACCGTTGTGTAGGTCGTGAAGTTCTTGTGGATATTCCAGGTCAACCTCCAAAACCATCCCTCTTCCGTTGTCTCCCAAGTAATCGTCTATATTCATACCGTCAACTTCCTCAACCCACTCTAACTCTCCATTAGGTAGTGGTTGTGACATTGCCCAGCCATATAAATTATTAGCGTCGAGGTACATTAGTTACTTGTTCTCAAACGACTCATCGTACGTCTCCATGTACTTGTTATTAGCTGCGGAGTGTCTATGAGCAATATAACTTGTACCACCCCTCATACCCTTCTCGAACATAAAACTGGAACATATCCATATCGTTTACAAGTTCTATTTCTTCACCTGACTTTTTCAGTAAAGCGTCCCAACTCAGACTAGGTGCTGACACGTAATGTGCGGGGTCAAGTTCACAACTTTCCAGACATGTTCTCCTGAAGTTCTCAAACACATCGGCCAGCAGAAGAACGTCGGTCTCCAAGTAGAGGTCGTGTTAATCTCTCATGGTTTTCATCTTGAAGTGATCCCATACTTTCTGAGCTTTCTCGTAATCTTCCTCCTTCACCTCTGACTCATACAGTGACGAGTAGAACTGATCCTTGCTCGGAAGACCTTCTGTATTGAGTTTGCTAATATCATCTAGGAACTCATATGGGAACACTCCTTTTTGTGTCACTAGATTGAAGTCCTCACCCTTCCACCTTTTACCTACTATCCTGAAGTCTTCGGGTGAAAGGTTACTTACCAGTGCTTCCAGTGAAGAAGTCATGAACTGTATA